ATTTAATTTAATTTAATTTAATTTAATTTAATTTAATTTAATTTATTTTAATTTAATTTAATTATTTTATTTTATTTATTTGTTAAAGGTATATGCCACCCGACTGCCAGTGACTCTGGGCACTTTACAAAATGCTAAAAACATTTAAAAACAAGGAAACAGCACAACACAAAGTAAAAAGGACAAAGATGGCAGGGAAGACAAACCGAACAGGAACAAATCAACCAGCCAATTCATCCACCCATCCTGGCAAGAATTTAGATCCATCCATTTGCAGCACCATCCAAAGCAAGGCGATTCCATCGCTGGATGGCGCTGACTCCCTCGCAAGCCTGTTCGGAAATTCTGCTACTAGAATGATACAACTGGAAAAGCTGAGCATTCCTTTCCAGATTGCTTTGTGCTGTTTCTAAAAAGAACACAGTAATGAAGAAAAAAATGGGGTGGAAAAGGGGAAAAAAAAAAGTCTAAAGGGCAAGAAGGGACAGGGTGGAAGCAAGATGGTGCAAGGCTTAACCCAGCTGGCTTTTGCCATACTTTAAGCTGCGGTCCACACATTTTAGAATTCTTTTTCCAGCCTGAAACCTGCCCCGAACCTCCCCAAACAGGTACAATTTTGCAGTAGGCCTCCACCAGTGTGAGTTTTCTCTTTTGTACTGATTATTCCTATGAATATATACAACTGAAGCGACAGATGCTATAGAATGGAACAGACTTGCTGTAGGCAGAGAGGCTTCCAGACCCCCTGACGAGGGAGATGTGTCGCTGCCTGATATCATGAAACCCCATTTTTTGGTTCTCCATGGTACAACTCGCACTGGGGACTTCAAAAGCACTACTCTACTGGGGCTGGGGCTGGAAATGAATGATTCATTTTATTAGACTATAATTCTTAAGAGTACGCTCATAATGGATGCATGGATTCTGCAATGACGAGAATCTTTGGAAAACTATTGTACAAGGGGTCCTGTGGAAGGGGCAGGTTCTTGACCCACAGTTATCCCTGCAGATGTATTGTCGAAGGCTTTCACGGCCGGCATACGATGGCTGGTGTGGGTCTTCCAGGCTGTGTGGCCGTGTTCTGGAAGTTTTGTTTCCTACCGTTTCGCCAACACCTGCATCTTCAGAGTGCAGGAGCACAGACAGGAGCAGTTCTCTCTGTGCCCAGGGTGATGTGACCCTTTTGTGGGTATTT